TAAATAAGGATTAAAATGATTAAAATGAATAATTGATAATTTGAAATAGGAAAAGGTCCAAAGGTGTAGGGGTGGTGGAAGGGAAAGGGGAAAGGGAAGAAGGGAAAGAAAAAATTATGAGAAAAGAAAAAAACAAAGGAAACAAAATCTATGTAAATAGGGAAGGGTGGAAGGGGTGAAGGGCGCACAGGTAATGGGGAAAAAATAAGAACCAAGATACATCATGCACAGGTACAAGCACCCAATGACAAATGTAAACATACTGCATACCTAAAATGTACCAATAAAAGAATTTTAAAAATAAAAAATAAATAAAATATGCTTGTTTTATGTAAGAATAGTGTAAATCTAAATTTGTTAACCAAGAGTGAAACAAGATAAAAACATTTAAAGAATTATTCCTGCAGTGAAACTTAGAGGAGAAAAGGCACAGTTCTTATAAAATTACAAAGGCAGGGCCAGGGATTTAGTTCAGTGGCACTGTGCCTGCCTTGCAGGTGCAAGGTCCTGAGTTCGATCCCCAGTACCAGAAAAGAAAATTACAAAGGCAAATTTTTACTTAGAGCCATTATTACTCTGTCCCATAAAAAACTATCATGATGTTCTATTTCATTTTTAAAATGTTTAAAAGTCTTGAATGCAATATACTATAAAAAGTTAGTGGCTCGTTTTAGATTCTATGCTTACTACTAAAATAGTCTAAAAAATTTATAATTAAGCTGAGCTATAACTCCGCTGAATTTCTACCCCTTTCTTTGGGGGGCAGCTGTCTGTCTTGTACTTCATATTAAATGATTAACAGATAACAGTATATTGGTCTAGTTAGCCACAAAAGCATATTATTTTGGTTAAGATTTTACGTGAATAAAAGTAAACTGTGTTTTGTAAATCAATTCTGGATCAAATAACAATTTAGAAGATACTACAGTTTTAAAGGTTCACATCAGTCTTGACCCAGCAACAACTAAATAAACCTGTTCTTTGGAGCAAGAATACACACCCTGAGGATCTTCAGGACTCTGCATTCAAACACATTCTCTGAGAGCTCTAAGGGTTTTCTATTCTGTTTAGTTTCACTTTTTCCTCAGAGTCAGAGTTCTATTTAGCCAGCTGAAAACACTTACTTTCACATGTTCCTATTCAAACCCAAAGTTACAAATGTACCAAAATCACCAATGACAGGGCTGGGGAGTTAGCTCAGTGGATCCACTGCCTGCCTCACAAGCGCAAGGACCTGAGTTTGATCCCCAGTACCAAAAAAAGAAAACAAACAAAATAACCAGTGACTGAGATAACAGTAGAAACAAAGAATAATGTGGTCAAATTTAAAACAAAGGGTATCCACTATGTATAAAAAAAGACAGATAAGGTGACCTTTACACATTTAAGGGATTTGCACATTTAAAATGTAAACATAATTTAGAAACAATAGTCAAGTTCTTTAAAAAATTAAATTAGGAATTTGATAACACAAGTTTGTACCCATAAGAAATGTGTTTGAAAATTATTGGTAACTAGGCTCATTACCTAAGAGATACATCTCATAAAATTGCTAAATGGAGGGCCAGGATTTAGCTCAGTGTTTCCAATGCCTGCCTCACAATCCCAAGGTCCTGAGTTCAATCCCTGGTACCAAAAAAAACAAACAAAAAAACTGCTAAATGGAGTCAAGACAATAAAAAAGCAAGTATTAACAGTGAATAGAGACAGGAAGGAATGTGATGAGAGTGAAAGCATCTAAAAAACTCTGGCCAAAGATAATCTGATTTCAGAGAATCCTTGGCTAATGCTAAGAAACTCTACACCCCCACCCCCACCCCTGGGGGCAGACTCCAGCTAGACAGCTTTCTCTGGGCCGCTCTGATCCTAGGTGTGAGGGGAGTGCCTTTCCGAAAGGACACTAGACACAGACATCCTAGTCTTCTCCCCAGTCATTCCGGAGGTGTGTCACACACTGAAAGTGATACATGAAACCCTCCAATGCTTTAATGGTTTGTGAATATGACCCAAAGTTAATTTTCTTTTGGAAACAGTATCTTTCCTTCTTTTCTCAAAGAGGTGTGTTATGTCCTTCACACAAGAATTCTATTCTTAGTTTTGAGTGAGATTATCTTTGAGATGTTAACAAATCACTCATTTGTCATCTGTCTGTTACAGTCCATATTTTTTATACTTCCCTGAGGGTATATTCATTCAATTTTTAAAAATAATTCTAAAGAGGGCCAGGGATTTAGCTCAGTGGCACCTGCCTCCCAAGCACAAGGTCTTGAGTTCGATCCGTGGTACAAAATAATAATAATAATAATAATTCTAAAAAAAATAGTGATTAGTATTGATGATATCAACTCGTCAATGTTTTTTAAATCTTTTTTTTTTCTGTTTTTTGAGACAGGGTCTCACTCTGTAATTCAAGCTGGGCTTGAACTCACTATATAGCCCAGGCTGACTTTGAATTCATGGCATCCTCCTGCCTCAGCCTCCCGAGTGCTGGGATTACAGGTGTGCGCCACCACACCCAGCTTCATCAATTTTTTTAAATGACACTGCTTGTCACATTAATGGTTATCAAATCTTTCTTAATACTTGCTGAAATCATTTAAAATAAATACTTTGAAAACATAATATGTAACCTAACCCTTCTTAAATAGGTACAAATATGGTCTAATATTTAAATACTGGTATGGTTAATATAAGTATTTAATTATTAATATAATTTTATGACTATTTTAGTAACTTACATACTAAAATATATTTTTAGGAATTGTTCTTGTAAGGGTCGAAGCACTTTTGGGGGAGATAGTATGAATAGTAAATGTTTTAGATCCATTTCCCTACACTAAAGGTCCTGTCTCATGATATTCATTCGTCTTGTGTATCTCCGTTACCACAGCTCCTGGTACACTGCCTGACACAGAGCAGATTTCAGCAAATTAAAGCAGTATGTAAGCATGATATACTACAAACACATACGACTAAAAAGGAAGGGCACCAAGAGATGGATGGAGGAGCCTGGGACCCAGGTCACCACAGAGAGAAAGAACGCAGTGAGAGGGCCAGGAGCCTGGGACACAGGCCTGTCTGTAGCAGAGGACGGAGAGCGGGTGTCACACCTGCTCAGAAGTTAAAGCTAAACACTTCCTGCGGCTGTGTGCTCCTTGATACTTCCCGAAGTCATCATGCAGGCAAGAAGTCACAAGCACACCCCCAGCCCTTTCGCAGCCAGGCTTGGTGCCATCACGAAGGTATGCAGAGTCCGAGTGGGTTACACAGTTTCCTGACTCCGTTTTGTAGTATACAAGCTATGTTATATTTAATCTCTGAATCTCTACCCCTTATCATTACTGGAAATGGTTCCCTTTTTTGTTTCTCTTTCTTGTTTTTGCTCTGCTACACATTGAATCCATGGCCTTACATATGGAAGACAAGCACTGTAATACAGAACTACATCTTCAGCTCCTGCTTCTTTTGTTTTACTGGCAAGTTCTAAAGTCCTTGTTTTGTTACTAAATTCCTATTGCATACTATACAGAAGTTTTGATGTTATTCTTAATTTTTTTGTTTTTTGTTTTTTTGAGACAGGATCTCTCTGTGTAGTTCAGGCTGGCCTTGAACTCACTGTGCAGCCCAGGTTGGCCTTGAACTCATGGGGCAATCCTCCTGCCTCAGCCTCCGGGGTGCTGGCATTATAGCCCTGCACCATCACACCCGGCTTGATGTTATTCTTAAAATGGTTCATAATTTTGATGTATATTTCATAAATCCAAAGAGACCTTCCCTGAGAAACACAAAGTATTTTTTCATTGAGATCATAAATAATAAACATATTTCCCATAATGCCCACATTCTCCATCAAAAAAGGGGGGGAAGAGGATGAAAAAAAGGAATTAAGATTATTATAACCAGGTATGGTGGCACACGCCTGTAGTTCTAGCACTCAGGATGCTGAGGCAGGAGGATTGCCATGAGTTCAAGGCCAGTCTAAGCTACATGCCAGCGTGAACTACACAGTGAGACCCTACCTCAAAAAAGAAAAGATGAATTATACATGTACCAACTCCCTATCAGGAATGTTAAACATTATGTACTATAAACATACTAATAGGTAAATAAAAAATTAAAGCACTCAATAACACCTATAATTGCTAAAGTTTGAAAGTATAGGTTTTAAAAAGTATTAAGCATGTATCTGTTTTTTAAGGAAAGCTTTTCTGTTTTGTTTGTTTTTTGAAGCAAGGTCTCACTATGTAGCCCAGGCTGGTCTCAAACTCACCACCACGCCCAGCAAGGAAAGCTTTTTAAACAGTATCCAAATATAATATCATAGAAACTAATGTGAGTACTTTTATGTCTGAGTTTTTATCATTCCAAAACAATAAAACACATACCTGCCATACCTTCCTCAGCATCCTGTTCTTTGAAATGGAAGGGTTCCTTCAGACCAGGTGTCTAGCTCAGGCCATCCTTACCAACAGGGTCCAAAGTAGCTACCAGTCTTCTCCTATTTAAAAAAAAGTATTATCATTTTATTATTCTAGATATGATTGAGCCTTAGGAAATTTTACAGTTTATGCTTCAACTTTTTAAAAATAAATGTAATTTAGAAAAACCCCTTTTATTTCCTCATAAAAAATTTTCACACTGCCTAAAAGCCAAACCTAGTATTGACCAAAAACACAAAATTCAAAACTAAACTACATATTAAAAGTTTTACTTACAGGGGCCGGGGATTTAGCTCAGTGGTTTCACCGCCTGCTGCACAAGTACAAGGACCAGAGTTTGATCCCCAGTACCAAAAAAAAAGTTTTACTTATAGAACCAAGTAATGATTAGACTATTTCTATAAAATTTCAAAATGTGAATATATGATGCCTGCAATGTGAAAATTGAGATTGTGAAATTAGGAATTAAAATTAGTGCACGCCGGTTATGAAAGACAACTTAAAAAAAAAAAGAAAGACAACTTAATCGGGGTTGAAAGTAGGAGTTTATGTTTATACTTATACACATGGACCTACTGATATTTGTATTCTAATTTACTATGTATTCATTGGAACGAAGAGGATTAGTAATGCCGGAACACAAGCCAATAAAGACTTGAATAAACTAGTGGCACTCAGCTCCTAAACATGAGGTTATCTAATAGAACGGTGCTTAAACATTTAGTTTTTACTAGACAGCTACTACTAAATGGCATTACAATCAGTTGTGAAGCACTGGTACTGTGTAATCAAAAAACTGAAAATAATTTTCTTAAAATTAAGATTAATGTACAAAAATGTTTGGTATATCACCCAATACTGGATTATTGGTTAAACTAACTGGGATGGTTTTATTTTATTTTATTTTATTTGTACCAGGGATCGAACTCTGGACCTTGTGCTTGTGAGGCGGGTGGTGGCACCACTGAGCTAAATCCCCAGCCCCTAACTGGGATGTTTTAATAAAAAGTATACTTGCTTCTCCTATAATACACATGAAGAATGCTTTTGAGGGTAAAAGATTTTTGTTGTTCTTGAAGCATGACTTCTCTCCAAACTACAATGAATGAACAGTAAGGAAGACAATTTCCCAAAATGCTTTTTCTTTTGATGCATGCTGATATTACATACAAGTTTATGAAGAGCCCTTTTAAGTCAAGAAATAATGTATATACATCAATAAACCCTCTAGTAAAATACTTCTAAGTTGGCTGAATAATTATACTATTTTCATGAAAAGCGAAAGAGAATTTCCCTAGTAGGCCCAGCGGAGCATCTTATTATCTCTGTAACAGGGGATTCTACAACTGCATTTCCTGCTGTCTTCTTATTTGGCCACTACATAGCTATCCATTTACAGGATGTGGACTAGAAGATAGGGGACAGCTGGCAAAGAACAAGGTTATTTCCCAAAATGAATTATTAATACTGTAGGAAACTGGTAACTTATTTCCATCCATTCTTAAGTTGCACAGTAAATGCAAGATGTTTTACAGAATGAGTCTGGAGAAGATCTGCCAAGACAGGTGAAGGCCCAGGGCAAACACAGGGGCAGCAAAGGAACTCTTCTATACTTGTGAATGAAAACCACATTCAATGCCATTTCAGTTCCTGATTCAGGGATTACCCTACAACAATTCTTTCTAATTCAACATATTTTTTTAAATTTAGGATGAGTGGATTTCAAAAATCAAAGCACTCATTTCTACCATGTATAGTAAATAAAGCAGAACAAGTTGTTCTGGGCAGCAGATTATAAATACAGACCCAAGAGCTTGGGTTCTGAACACACCAGGTTCAAATCCCAGCACTGCCACTTACTAGCTGTGTGACTGTAGGCCAGAACTCCATCATCTATAAAATGCGGCAATAACAGTACTTATTTAATAGGGTTGCATGAAGATTGAAAGAAGTAACACATTTAAAGTTTTAGAATATTTGCTGTTACTTAGTAAGAACATAATGAATGTTAGATTTTTCTGATCTTATTTAAGATATTAACTTCCAGTTACATAACAAAGGAAGCTTTTTGGTTAAAATTGCTAAATGTTGACAAAGTATAAAATAATAATTTTAAAATTTGGGTAACAACCAATAAATTTTATTTTCCATTTCATGCCTTTGAACATATTGAATAATGTTAGAGCCAGGTGGCTTTAACAAGTAAATATTACTTAGTCATAATCTAACACACACACACTTTCTCTGACCTTAGCTTCAAAATGAATCATTACTACGTGACACATTTGTAAGGGGCATTTTGTAGAACTAACAACCCTGATACAAATAATCTTACAGTACTGAGAAACTGTTCTCTTCTCATCAACCTTCACCCTCCCAAATCTGGTCCCTACCCAGGGAAGCTTTAACACACTTCTTTTTTTTTTTTTTTTGGTTCTGGGGATTGAACTTGGGACCTTGAGCCTGCAAGGCAGGCGGCAGAACCACTGAACTAAATCCCTGGCCCAACATCTTTCTTTTTGACAATATTGGGCTATAAAATGAAGCACATTTGAGATAGAAGAAAAACATAAGTATGAGTAAAGTGCTGAGAAATAGCCAAACCTTCTATTTCCTTTTATTCTCAGGACAACCAAAAAAGGGAAATAAAGACTTTTAGGAAGGGGAAAGGGGGAGTCAGAAATCACAGATTATTAAATTACAAAAATTTATGGGCCGGGGATTTAGCTCAGTAGTTCCGCCATCTGCCTCACAAGCGCAAGGTTCCGAGTTCGATCCCTGGTACCAACAACAACAACAACAACAACAAAATTGCAAAAATTTAATGAGTTATTACTTTATTTTAAATGGTAAGTATGTATATGATATGCCTACATTAATATTTTGTCAGATAAACTCTGGTACGATTTTTAAAATCTAAATCTAAAACAAAATAAAAATCCTGTAGAGCTGGGGATTCTCAGTGGTTCCGCCACCTGCCTCACAAGCCCAAGGTCCCAAGTTCAATCCCTGGTACCAAAAAAAAAATCCTGTATTAAAAATGATTTATTCAATTAACTTCCTTGAAAAAATGTCATTCTGAGACTGTTCATACATACTTCTTTTCTTGTTTTGAGGTTTGCACTGAGCTACAACCCCACACCTCCTTTATTTTATTTATTTATTTATTTTGGTACAGGGATCGAACTCGGGACCTTGGGCTTGTGAGGCAGGTGGTGGAACCATTGAGCTAAATCCCTGGCCCCCAACCCCCTTTATTTTAAAGACAAGATAAGTGTCTAAATTCCCCAGGCTGGGTTCAATTTTATGATCTTCCTACCTCAGCCTCCCAAGAGCGCTGGGATTACAGGAATGCGCCACCAGATCCAGCTCACAGATGCTTCTTTTATAAAGTTTACTTTTATATTTGTTTAGGCCAAAAGTATATAACTATTATACATCTTTTTTTTTTTTTTTTGGTACTGGAATGCGCCACCAGATCCAGCTCACAGATGCTTCTTTTATAAAGTTTACTTTTATATTTGTTTAGGCCAAAAGTATATAACTATTATACATCTTTTTTTTTTTTTTTTGGTACTGGGGATTGAACTTGGGACCTTGCGCTTACAAGGCAGACCCAGTGCCGCTGAGCTAAATCCCTGGCCCACTATTATATATCTTTATGTATGTTGTTGTATGTATACGTTTATACCTCTTAAATACATTATGGATACTGATTATATAAAATGTCACGATTAAGTATCTTTTAAGAACAAAACCTGGCAACTACATGAAAATTTACATATTAATATTTAAATATAAACTGTATAAAATACAGATCTCCAAAATGTAAACTCAAATTAATATCCTGATTAATAATCTAAATCACCAACTTCAGTCATGCAAATCTAGTTACTCATGACTACAGATATATTAGAGCAACAAAGGATACAAAAAATATTTCATGAGGGGCCAGGAATTTAGCTCAGTGGTTCTGCCACCTGCCTCACAAGCGCAAGGTCCTAAGTTCAATCCCCAGTACCAAAAAAAAAAAAAAATTCAGGAGTATTACGGAAATATTGGCTAGTATTCAAGGGCTAGCCTGTAAAAGATTTTTAAATGTATAATTTTACTTTTGAAATTACATAGGATTATGTGAAAGGATTTTTTGTTCAAATAGATACTTAAAGGTATGTGCTTACCATAATATAAACAGTTCTGATGGGTTTTTAAAATGTGTAATACTAGCTAGAAGCATAACAATACAATAGGTAATTCCAAACAGCTCCCTAAATAATTTCATTGACTACAATGGATTAAGAAACTAGCAAACATATACCAATAAAAATAAAAATTTAATAGAAATAGTTAAAAAAAAACTAGGTTTGGGGCCAAGAATTTAGCTCAGTGGTTCCGCTGCCTGCCTCACAAGCGCAAGGTTCTGAGTTCAATCCCCCATAGCAAAATAAATAAATACATAAATAAATAAAAACTAGGTTTGGTATTGAATTGGTAACATTGTTAAAATTCAAATGAGTCTTTTAAATCCATTATGTTACAACATAAATAAAAAGGTTATTTTCTTGGCTACATTTGTGATCAATTTAATTTTAAAAGCACTTTCATTACTTGTGAACCCATAATTTGATGTCTCAAATATACTTTGTGCTCAACATAAGAAAATATATCATGTGAATGTGAAATGTAACAGGAGAGAACCTTCAAAATGAGTCACCACACCTGTAATTTAATTAATAAAATATTATAAAACTTTATTCATATTTATTGAAAAAAGGAATTCACAAGTATCATTAAAGGTGAAATTACTGCTACATGATTCATCAGCCACCCTCAAATCCAGTGAAATATGAAGCTCTGCTACAAGGGAAATAAATCTACTAATGAACATCTTCCCCACACATCCATTTATGTTTTCAGCATTAGCATCTTTTCAAACCATCTGGCATCAATGCCTCTCTGGTTCACCCAACCTAATCTGTTCAGATTCAAATGTGAAACTAGAGCAACACGCATTTTGAGGAAGCCAAAGAACAGCACATATGTATAATAATGTTCGAAGTGTGAATCTGTAAGCTACTTTTTACTGGAACTGTACCTTTAAAACATTTCCATTAAAGACATTGAGGCACTTTTGAAAATACAAGAATGACTCAAGAAATCTGTATGGGTCATAGCTATCATCAGTTACCCATGTCCTACTTTTTTTTTCTCATTTAATCCCAACTATCAGATAAAGCATGTAAAGAGGTATACCTACAAAAAAATTCACTGATAAATTAAGTACTATCATTTTTACAATAAAAGGATTGAAGTTATATATTTTACTTTGCCTAAAATTAGTCTTCATAACCTTAAAAAATGCTTTGAAGGAGCTGGGGATGTAGCTTAGTGGTGCCGAACCTACCTGGCAAGGTCCTGAGTTCAATCCCTGGTACCACAAAAAAAAAGGCTCTGAGAAAGAAGAGGAAAATGTTCATGAAAGCCCTTTTTCTTTTATGTTCTGTTACCACATTATTGTCATTGGCAACACTCACATCTCTTTTGCTTAAAATCAGGAATCAAAATTGTTACTTTAAAAATTAAAATAATCTACAAATACTAAAGCCAATACCTTTGTTAGACACAATTTTGTTAATCCTCACTACCAGTTTAAAAACAAATGACTTTTTCAGAACAATTTTTCAGAAACCAAGATAATTCACGTAGCAATGTATAAAACAAGTTAAAGCTTTCAGACAAAGACTGAGAAACAATGACCAACACCAACAAATGTAAAAGTGCATTTATATATGTACACGCACGTACATACACACACACACACACACACACACACACACACACACACACACACACACGCTCGCTACTCCTGGGAGAAGCTGCTTTAGCCTCCCTAATGGTGAACCGCTTGTATGTCCCCATCTTGTGGGTTTCCTTTTTGCTCTCATATTAACCTCCAAAAGAACTGCTTCTTTCAAGTCACTCGAATCCCACATCACAATTCCCTATCAGCCTTTCCCATATTTTTCTCTTAACAGATTAGCTCCCCTAGTCTGTTCTTAGAGAGCTGGGCTGAGGACAGTAGCGCACTGGAATCCTGCTCTACCCAGCCGTTTCCCTCACGTTGCCCTTGTACCTTTCCCACTCCTGCTCCTAACTTCCCTGCCCAGGTCTCCCACCGACGCCTTCCCCGAGGCTTGGTCACTCACTACGGAAGCTAAGGAAATCAAAAGGAATCTTTCCTTCTGTGGGGTTTTGCGCTTTCTTTACCTTTACCCACGAAGGGGTAAAGAGGAGGCGACTGAAACAAAGAATTTCTAGTCCCTTTCTGGGAACTTTGCTGGAAAGACCTCCGCAAAGGCCTTGCGAAAGCTCCGCTCGCCTGCCCCTGGAGCCTTCCCAGCCCTTCCCGCCCGAGGACCTGCAGCCCCGGGTGACGGTCCCCGCCCGACCCGCCAGTCACCTGCCCGGACAGACAGCGCTCCGGTGTCTCCGGGGCTTCTCCCCACGCCTCGGGGCTCCCGTCCCTTCCCAACCCAGCTCTTGAAGACTCCACTCGGACCCCCGGAGTGAGCACAGCCTTGCCCTAGGTGTTCTGGGCTCCGTCGCCAGGCCAGCGCTCGGCTCCGGGGCCCTCGGCTCCGGGGAGGCTGCGGCCCGGAGGCGGCCGCGCGCCCCGCTCCCCTGAACCCCAACATCGCCAGGGCGCTCCCGGGACCGGCCCCGCCCGCCCGCCGCAGTCCCGGCCGTCTGCGGGGGCCGAGACGCCCCTCGGAGCCCCGGCCCGGCTCCCCAGGCAGCAGGACCCCAGAGCCGGACGGGGCCCGCGACTCCTCAGCGCCGGACAGGCCCGGCCCCGCCACCGGCGCACAGGCCGGGAACCGGGGATCGCCGGCCCTCCGGGGCCTCCTCCGCTCCCCCGCAGCCCCGCCGGCCTCGCCCGCGCCCACCCTGACCCCGGCCCCGGCGCCCGGGCCGCCACCTACCGGGGCCCCCGCGCCTCTCAGCGCCCCGCCGCCGCCATCTTGCATCTCACGGCGGCTGCACTTTCAGGGAGTCAACTCTGACCTGTGAACCCTACCCCGGAACCGCTCGCGGGCCGCGGCCGGCCTCGGGGCTCGGCGGCTGGGGGACCCCGCCGGGGGCGAGCACGGCGCACGCCCCAGCGGCCGAGCGGGCGGAGGGGCGGAGGGGCGGAGGGGCGGGGAGCGCCAGCCAGGGCCTTGGCCGCCGGCTGCCGCGCCTACCCGCGGCTGGGGGATCCGCCCGGCCGCTACCCTGAGGGGCCCGCCGCGGGAGGTGGGCAGCGCCCCGCCCTCTGTCAGTGGAGCCCCGCCCCGGCCGCGGAAGCCCCGCCCCGCGCGCAGCGGCCCCGCTCCGAGCCGGCGTTCACTCGGCCTGCGGGCGTCAGGAGCCCGGCGCGCTCTCGGGTCAGTCCCGGACAGCTCCGGCCCCGTCCCCGCTGGACCGGGACAAGTAGGCACACTGTCCTCCGCTGCAGCGCCCCTTGGCATCCCAGGCCTACCTCCGGGCCGGCCTGCCAGGCCCCGCCCCCTGCCGCCGCAGCCCCGCCCCGCCGCGGACCCCAAGGGCGCGGGCATCGCTCGCACCGCCGCTCCTCAGAGGCCCGAGAGGCCGGCGCTCACCGGCCGCGCTTAGGCCTGATCCTCCCGTCCGCTGCCTCCACGGGAGCGGCCGAGGACCGGACCCGGGGAGGGGACCCTCGCCTCAGGCCGGCCGGGACCTTGGCGCGGGAAGACCCTGTGTGGAAGTCCGGGACAGCGGCCGCGGAGCAGAGCCACAGTGCGAGCCGCGCACCCGAAGACTGTCGAGCCTCCTCGTACGAAGGCAAAGGGAAAGCATCGTGAGCAGAGTTTGGACGCAGAACTCCCGGAGCGAGCGCTCGGCGCCCGACGGAGCTACCACGGCCAAAGCCCGCACCGCAGGCTTGCGCCCGTCCTCGGGGACGGGGCTGCACCCGCTGCCGCTGAGACCGCTGCTTACGGCTTATTTCTGAGGAAGAAATCAATTCCAGTGCAGGATTTTTTTTTTTTTTTTTTTTTTTGGTTTTTGCATCTAGCCACATTGCAAGCCAAGCCCTCGGGGAAATGCGACGCTGTTAGGCCACGCCGTCATGCCTTGTTATCCAAGGAGGAGTCTGGGGCCTTGGCGATGCCCGAGTCCCAGGAGGCTCGTGTGGAAAGTGAGGCAGTATTTCACACAACCTTCACGAATCCTCCCACGTACTTGAAATTATCTCCAGGGCTTTATAATGCCTGTAAATCATTGTCACACTGTATTGTTTCAGGGATCGTGACAAGAAAACTGTCGATTACGTATTCAGCACGAATGCACCTTCCCATGACATTTTCCATCCACAGTTGGTTAAGGAAGTAGAATCCAAGGGTCCAGAAGGCCCGGTGTATTCCAGTCTTCCAGAGAGACAGAAGGAAACAAGGGAGCCTAACAATGTATCAAAGTGAAAGGTGAGAAGAGATCGAGAAGCGATAGATCCTTCAGGGAGCTGGGCCTGTGAGGAAGACAACTTCACATTTCTGTCTCTCCCTCCCTTTCTCAGTTTGTGTCTCTCCCTCGCTGTTCTCTCTCTCTTCTTCACCATCTCTCTCTCCTCCTTCCCTCCCATCCCCCTCCTGTCCTCTTCCTCCACTTCTTTGGCACCAGTTCATGGTCTCCTCCTCTATAGAAGCTGTCTTCCTGGTTCACTGGCAATGCCAGCAGCCCACAGTCCTCTCAATTCAGGGTCAGCCCCGCAGGGCAGTTTTGTTCAGGAAAGCGTTTTCAGTCGCACAGTGCTGAGAACAGTGCCCTTGGCTGAATTGCTGCCAATTATTTGGTATCCCGGTACAAAGCAAGACTGTTACCACCACTTGAAAAACACGGCTGCAAACTTTAAGCAATATGCATATATGTTTAGCTCAGCAGATTGTGCCAGCCCACATAAATCTGTTTAGAGATCATGCTCACAAAGTAACTTGTTTTTATTAAACTCATTTATAAAAATTGTAAATATGGCTGATTTTAACAGCTGCGTAGCTCCAGAAGTGAGTTTTTACCCATGGATTGGCAGAGTGAAGAGTCTACATTTTGTAAATGCATATGTTTTACAGTTTGTCATACATAGACTAGTATGGCAACTTCAGTACTGTTAGAGATGAAGAGTTGTTCAGCAGGTTTTCAAAAGCATAGCACTTTTGCTCTTCAGAACCTCTTCAACCTTTGAAAGCATGTGTGTGTGTGTAGGAAATGAAGAGCTTTGAATAAAAAGTTCTAAGTGCCAGTATTATCTGAAGAAGAGGCACCTTTTTGCCAGTAGTTTCATTCTGTTATTTTTTTTCTTTTGTGAAAAAGTGTTTTTTAAAAACATGATAGCGGGCCAGGGATTTAGCTCAGTGGTTCTGCCACCTGCTTCGCAAGCGCAAGGTCCTGAGTTTGATCCCCAGTACCAAAAAACAAAACAAAAACATGATACCACGAGGGCCAGGAATTTAGCTCAGTGGCACTGTGGCTGCCTCACAAGCACAAGGTCCTGAGTTTGATCCCCAGTACAAAAAAGAAAAACAACACATGATACTATGAAGCAGATCTGCTAAAAAGACATCAAACTAAGACACTTTGAACTTTTAACTATGGTTAGGTAAACTTGAGAATTCAATCCTAGTGAAGAGGTCCAACAATTTTTTCTAATGGCTACTTTAAAAGGTGAACAAAAATGTTCCTGTTAATAGTTCAGCCTGAGCAAACTTTCAATTTCCAGTCATCTTAGTGCTTGCTCTGTGAAAGTTATGTTATTGATAATAACAGTAAAAGCAGTCAATATTCTTGGTACTTATAAAGTGCTCCCATCCTCTACCTCCCCCATCTTCCTACATATAACAAGAAAAATACAGAGGAAAAAACTAATTTCCCAGCATAGATTCAAGGGGTAACATTTTGATAGACTTTACATTTTAAGCATGTGTAATGGGGTTGGTTCACTCACTGATGTGTAACTATTTTTACCAAAAATGTTTAGTGAGTGTGTCACACTGTCTAGAAAAAAGTGGCGGTATAGCTCTGTGTGTGTGTGTGTGTGTGTGTGTGTGTGTGTGTGTGTGTGTGTGTGTGTGATCTGAGGCATCAAGTTTAGGGCCTCAAGCATAGGAGGTACGTAAGTATGTTACTGAGCTATATTCCCAGTCCTTTCACTGATTTGCCCAGGCTGATCTCAAACTGTGTTATCTTCTTGTCTCAGTCTCCCAAGTAGCTGGGATTAAAGGTGTGCACCACTATACCAAACTGCTGTATGTCTTTGATCTAAAATCTTAGGGATCTTACAATTGGAAAGCAATACTGGAATGAGAAAATGTAATGATTCAGTCTTAGATGAAGTCTTAGCAGAGAAGTCTAAAGAGCAGTATTTAAACTTTAATGTACATGAAAATTAGTGGGCAACTTTGTTTAAAAATAAATTCTCAGGGCCAGGGATCTAGCTCAGTGGTACCTTGGCCACATCACAAATGCAAGGTCCTGAGTTCAATTTCCCGATACCAAAAAAAAAGATTCTCAGAACCCACTCCCAAGAGAGTGAAATTCAGAGGCTCCCAGATGAGATCATGAATTTGTACTTGCGATGCAACCAGTAACCTTTATGTAAGTGAGCCGCAGACCTCACTTTGAGAAATATTAATTTAAATAAATGTTTATAGTTAAGGGAAAAACTCAGTAAGACATTCACTAGCACTGAAGCAAATGTCTGTTTTAAGTCCTGGATCCTCTGTCACTTGCTAACTTGTATCAAGCAGTTGTTGCTGTATAACAAAGCCAACAAAACTTAGCAGGTTAAAAGACTAAACCGTTCTTTAACTCATTAGTCTGTGGGTCAGCTGGGTGGTTCTGCTGATCTGGACCAAGTTTGCCTGATCTGGGCTGGACTTGCTCAGGTATCTGTGGTCAGCAGGTGGGTTGTCTGTGGGCTGCCAGTCCAAGAGAGCTGCATTCATATACCCAATGGCTGGCTCATCTGCACTGGCCTCATTCACACCTCAGAGGTTGGCTGGCTGTTGGTCACACAGATCACTGGGCCTTGGGTCTCTCAACTTCCAGTGGAATATCCCAGACTCATTCCCGTGCAGACACAGGGTTCCAATAAGCTGCATGCAGCCTTTAAGAAATCTTGCAGCTGGACCCCAGTTCGATCCCCGGTACCAAAAAAAAACCCAGAACAAAACAAAACAAAAAGAAATCTTCCAGCCTAGGCTCAGAGCTGACACATTGTCATTTCAGCCACATTTGACTGGCCTAACCCAGTCTAGAACATGGCCCAGATTCCACTTTTTTTTTTGGTACTGGGAATTGAACTCAGGACCTTGTGCTTTCGAGGCAGGCGTGGTGCCACTGAGCTAAATCCCGCCCTAGATTCCACTTCTTGATGACAGCAGCTGTAAAGTCACAATACAAAGGATGAGGATAGGGGCCCGGAATTTAGCTCAGTGGTTCTGGCACCTACCTCATAAGCACAAGGTCCCAAATTTGATCCCTGGCACCAAAAAAAATAAATAAAGAGCAAATGATGTGGGTATAATTGTGACCATTTCTGTCATCAATTTACCATACTGTGTGACTGCTATGGTTTGGATCAAAAATGTCCTCCAAAACACATGTTCAGAGGTGGGATTTTTAGAAAGTGATTAGATCATGGTGGCACTAACCTTATCAATAGATTAATCCATTGATAAGTTCATAGCTGAATTCGATGTTAGGAAGTGGTTGGAAGAAGTAGGTCATTGGGAGCATGCCTTGGCTCTCTTGCTCTTTCACTGCTTCCTGGCTACCATCAGCTGAGCAGCTTTCCTCTGCCACACCCTTCCACCATGATGTTTCTGCTTTGGAACCACTAACCATGGTCTGAAGCCTCTGAAACCATGAGCCAAATGAAACCTTTCCTTCTTTAAACTGTGCATATCAGGCCTTTTGTTCCAGCAATGGAAAGCTAATGCTGTGACTAAAGGCAGGTTTCTTAACTTGTCTTATGTCTACTTTTACTCACACATAAAATGAAAATAATTTCAATTCATAGGACCGTATTTGAGTCCTATGTCAAAAGGTTGATAGTTGCTGCAAAAGATCTGACTTT